GTAAAAATCGACGTGTTTCAGAAAGGCGGGGCATAGAGGAGAAACAATAATGTACAGTATGTGGAAAATAATGTGTTTTTTTAACCTTAAACCGCATAAAAACATTTCATTATACCAAATACACAAAATACTGTTCTTTTTAGCAGCATCATATGACCCCTTTAAGAATATTTTAAAGTTTCAAGTCAGCAAGTTCTATAAAGAAATTAAGACTTTCATTCAGCAAGGATACATTAAATTGATCCGTAAAGACTATTTCAAATAAATGCTGTTCTTTAGAAATCAAGCGTAGCGTTAGTTCTGGCAGGTCACGTTAGTCAAGCTCGCATCAGCTGACTCTCAGCTGATCCCCATCAACCTATGGGAATACGACACCTATCTAAGTATTCATATATAAGGTCCCGCAGTAGTATCAGCAGTTTTCGCATTGCTCAATAGCTAATTACCCTCCTCCATCCCCAACTCCTCCTCTGTCAGTCAGGATTCAGCCTTCTGATTCTCCTTTGAATCAGACTAATTCTAAAATGTGTACATAAGATTATTGAACTTTAACGATATCTGCAATACATTTATGTTGGTTCTGTTCTGTTTACCCTGGGGGGGGGTTACCGCTGCTCTCCCCGCTCTCATCCATGCTAGGCTGCATGGATGCGCAGGGAGTTCTTGCCCAGAACGGAACCATACCGCAAATCCAAACTGTATGCTAACTGTCAATCATCTTTGACAACAGTGGTCCTGACAGAACTTTGTATTCATCAAACAATTTCATGGATTCCACAAACATATTAAACAGCCTAGCTGTTCATATTAACGAAAAGTAATGTTTCTTCAGCAGCAAATCAGCATTTTAGAATGATTTCTAGAGAATCATGTGACACTGACAACTGGAGTAATGCTTGCTGAAAATTCAGCTTTGCCATCACAGAAAATAAAAAAGTTATTTTAAACTGAAATAATATTTCACAATCTTACTGTTTTTACTGTATTTTTGACTAAATAAATGCAGCCTTGGTGAGCAAAAGAGAATTCTTTAAAAACCTTTAAAAAAATGTACGAACAAAATTTTTACGGTAGTGTACATATATCAAATTATATATTATATATAGATATTATTTCTCACCATTAAAAGAATTCACACTATATGTGACCCTGGACCACAAAACCAGTCTTAAGTCGCTTGGGTATATTTTTAGCAATAGCCAAAAAAACATTGTATGGGTCAAAATTATCGATTTTTCTTTTATGCCAAAAATCATTAGGATATTAAAGGGGTCATATGATGTTGCTAAAAAGAACATTATTTTGTGTATTTGGTGTAATGAAATGTTATGCGGTTTAAGGTTAAAAAAAACATTATTTTCCACATACTGTAAATTATTGTTTCTCCTCTATGCCCCGCCTTTCTGAAACACGTCGATTTTTACAAAGCGAGGTGTGCGCTCTGATAGGCCAGCTATCCAGTGCGTTGTGATTGGCTGAATACCTCAAGCGTGTGACGGAAATGTTACGCCCCTTACC